TGACCTACGCGTGAAATCAACACACGTTAAATACTTATTTAGTGAGATATAAAATTGTAAAGAAACATTTCTACATACATAAGTATATCATGCTTATTTATTTTCAAACTACTCCGTATCATCCATAAGTATTAGATAAATCCCTATTACTAAACCCAAATTCCTTTCATACTATTATCATAACCATTCTTAGTATATCCAGCATACTTTTCTTTCTGTACATTTTTCTTATTATTCTTTAGTAATTATTTATTAATTTCGTTTATACATCCTTTCATGACTTTTATACATCATGATACATTTCATTTATGGCATTTTTTCATGTCTTTTATACACCATGATACATTTATTAAGATGCAGACGTAGTGTCTAACTGGCATGATTGACACTTTTCTGTCAAATGCACAACTAGGCCATTAATATTTTATTTTGGACTAGTTTTTACTCTAATAATTATTTACAATTTATTATAAACCTTATAAATTTGCACTCTTAGTGCTAACATGGTAATTTACCAATTTCCTATTCGTGTTCATTTATTAAGATGCACACGTAGTGTCTATACGGTAGTTCATCAACTCATGATGAATTTTGTGGGTTGCACACATTGTACATGTATGGTTATTCGTCAACTCATGATGAATTCCGTGGATTTGCACACATAGTGCATGTACGGTTATTCATCAACTCATGATGAATTTCGTGGATTTGTATACATAGTGCCTGTACGATTATTCATCAACTCATGATAAATTCTGTGGATTTGCACACATAGTGCTTGTACGGTTATTCATCAACTCATGATGAATTCCGTGAAATGCACACTTAGTGTCGAAACGATTATTCATCCACATAGGATGAATTCCGTAGAATGCACACTTAGTGCCTATTTGGTAATCACTACATACATTTTAAACAATCATATATATATGATTAGTACAAAATATAGTTACACAATTAAATGCACTCACCTACATTACCTCGCTATTATATCCAAGACGCAAAGTTGATTACTCAGGTATTTTGCCTTTGCCTTTAGTTTTGCTTGACTCGAGAGCTTGATTTCAGTCTACTCAAGCATCCATTAATTACATGTACAATATCAATTGTTAGTATATTTCCTAACAATTACACTTAAATATTACTCAATAGAACCTACTATTAACTTTTCTACAACATTATTAGCCTATCTTACAATTTCTGGCTCCTCAATATCGATACCCATACTATGGTATCGATCTACCATACTATGGTACCGCTACTAGGCTATGGTATTGATACCATTTTTGCATTCTGTTTTGAATGGTATCGATACCTTCCCTTCGATATCGATAATTCCCCTTTGGTATCGATACTGATTGAATCAATATCGATATTACTTAGCAAATTCATCACATTTTAGCTTATAGTATCAGTACTGTTCTAATAGTACCGATGCTCTTACCCAGATTTTCTATTTTTCACCCTGAAATATATCCAATTTTGGTCAAATTTCCTTATGATTACTCCCAACAATACTATTAAACTCTTCTCTACTTTTCCATATTAACTTTTTTTCATTTAGCTACTTAAAACATCTAGTATCCCTCAAGATCATTTGATTTCTCTTAAATCACACCACAATTTCTAACTTGTTTTTTAAACTCATCTAATGCTTCTAATCTCTTATTTACTACTTTGACAAGTCAAAACTACTAATAATCATCAATAAACACTAATATACTAACATATCATTTAAAAACAAATTTTCTTCAATCTCAATTATGTCATCCATTTCTTAGTTATAATCTTTTTTAACACCTCCTTAAGCCTCTATATTCCTCAATGATTCAAAACCAACCAAAAACGAGAGGAAAAACTAACCAAATGAAATCTTACCTTTGAGCTATGGAGTAGAGTTCTTCCACGGGAAAGAAGAAAAGAGAGATGAATATGTTAGCTTACTTTCCCCTTTTGTTTCCTTATATCCCTAATAAAGGATAAATTTTAAATTCACTTATCCTTAAAGGACCAAAACACCCTCTATATTCATTCATCTATACAAATTGCTCTTAAACACAATTCTAATCATTTTCTATCTTTTATCATTATTCAATTTAATCATCCAATTTTAAATCTTTTCAATGAAGTCACTGACCTGATATTTGGGGTATTACAATTTTTTATTTAGTATTTTATTATTTGAATGTTTTTATGATTATCTTTAGTTATTTTATTTTCTTAGGTTATTTGAAAGCTATAAATACCCCTTGGGGTAAAACTTGAAGGATACTTTTTTTTTGGATTCAATTTGTTCTTGTTTTCTTCTTATAAAGGTGTTTCTCTTATCTCCTTTCATTTTTACTTAATTCTTTATTTAATTTTCTTTAAAAACATGCTAAGTATGATTTCTATCATGCTTAGATAATTTTCTCATTTCGCCGATGCTTAGCAATACTCAATTCGTATTGTGAGAATTGAAAGAATTTAATATCTTCGGATATTATTCTAAATTTTCTGCAAACTTGGATTGACAATCAACATTTAAAAATCTTAACACTTGCATTTCAAAAAGTCGACGTTGATCTGGATGTTGTTTTGATTTAAAGTTGGGAGGAAGAATCGAATGGTAGTAAGTTCGACTTCCTATGAATACACTTAGCGGTAGCCCGCTAAGGGAAATTGTGATCGGATTTGATTCCCATTGAGACAACATAATCCGGGTTGGGCTTTTCCAACACTTAAAACTGTTTCGGTGTTAATGTCAATAGTCATAGTTAATCCAAACAATGACTGAATTTCAAAGATTGACTTGGGAATATATGTTTATCGAAGAGAAAAGTAAGTTATATGGGTTGGGCCTTGTAATCTATAACCAACATGAATCCCAAAGTAAAATCTCTTTCGATGATCAAAATGAATTAAGGCAAGGCGAAGCTTGAGGTTATTTTATTTAATTGATTTTATTTTTTCAAAATTTACTTTCTTTATTTTTTTATATTTAGTTTTCAAATTCTCTTCTACTCTTTTTACATTTACTTTCTACGTCGAAATCCGACCCCCCCCATTTTCTTTACTTTCTCACCAAAGTCAGAATCAAAACCTCTCTACGTTAGAAGCTCCTTAATCCATGTGAATCGACTATTTCTTCTCTTTACTACGCTTATTCATTATTTATTTTGAGACTAAGGATTATTTGTTTGATAGTCATGATACTTGTCATATATATATATGGACAAGATTCACTTACATGGTGTAAAACAATAAGTTTTACACTAATTTATAGCTATTAGATTTAAATAAATAAATGAGTTAAATTTATTTAAAATTTATAAATCATAAATAAATATGTTTTAACTCACAGTAAAATAATATCTCTTTTTACACTAATCCCTAAACATTAAACCCTAAGCCCTAAACCTTAAATCTTAACCTTAAAATCCAAACCCAAACCCGGAGGCTTAATTCTTAAACTCTAAATCCTAACTCTAAAAAGACAAAAATATTAAGAAATATTTATTTACAAGTTATATATTTTAATTAAATTTATGCCATTTATTTATTCAAGTCTAATGACTATAAATTAGTGTAAAATTTATTAGTTTTCTGTAATGTAAGTGGATCCTTAGGAATTTGTGTATATATCATACAAATGTATGTATATTTATTATGATACTGATTATTGTTAAGTCCTATAGTGCTGTGCTAAAAATGTCATATGTCTTAAACATTTCATGCTATGTTTATATTAACATGTAATATCTATTAAGTAGTTCTGTATTACTAAACTTTATAAGATCAATGTTCAAAATTAATTCCCGTAGCTCAAGTTTTTAAGTCTATTTGAGTTCGAAATATGACACAAATATCATACCAGGAGTTCTTGAGACAACTATATCAAGAGTACAATATTATATCCCTTTAGTTGGACATATAATATTAATAGGATTTACTTGGTGATTTTGGTGTTTAAACTTTTTGTGTGATTTCTATGTTTACTGTACGCTATTCAAATGAGTTTAATATATTTGAGTTATTCTCAATGTTTTATTTCAATTAATAATTTCAAAGAAAATTTTGTTAGTAGCTTAGTAACCCAAATGTGACATTCTCAAATCCGTCGAATATTCCGGTCAAGTTTGAGGTGTTACAACATCCATATAAATCTCTCAAACATAGGTCCCATAAGAATTATCTCTCTCAGATTTCTCTTTATGATGCTTCTAAAGATTAAGAACTAACATTTATATTTATGGAGTCAAATACTCGATGGTTAAAGAACCTTATTTCATGAGACTTCTTAATTAATTTTAAATATTTATTATATAAATTTAATCATCAAATAATCTTCGATCTAATCGAACTTAATTTTCAATTAAAATTTGCGCCATTACATAATAATATAGACATCCTTATAATTTCTTATGTGTTATCAGATTTCCGTCACTTGAGTTCATGGTATGTTTGATTCACATAAAACATGTATTTGCATGTGTACAAGCTACATTTCAGAATATAGACGTGGACTAGTTTCACTTACCAGCCCCTCAGCATGTGATGTAGACTGTTAACTTTTCTAGGTACATGAAATGATATTTACTTTTGTTTTTCAGTTGGTGCATAGATTAGGTTTGTCACACTGTACTGCATACCTATAAACAGATTTACAAATTCTTATATTTTAAAGACTGTAACATCTGGAAATTAGACTTTGTTTCATATTTCCTAATATAAAGTGCCAATAGGGTTACATTCATGCACCACCATGCTGACAAGTTGACATTGTCTCTCCTTGTTTCCAAAGTCAAATACAATCTTTCTTTTATAACATTCTTGCAATCAACTTGAAATGGAAATAATAAAAAGAAAAAATAATAATAAAGGTTGCATCCGCCTAAAAATGGATATCTTTTTTAGTGGGCTTGGTTTGCTTCACTGAAATTTAATTTATAATTTGGTCGAATTTTAACATTATAAATAAAATAAATTGAGTTGGAAAGATCATTTTTATAATAAATTTTTATAATATTCGATTTAAATTAATTAATCAATAAATCTGATGTCAGTGTGATTATACTGAAGAAATGATAGCAAGAGTCTTAATCATGTTATTTTTTTTGGAAGTTTCTTGGCACCTTTTATCTGTTTGTTTAATCATGTTAAGACCAGAGAACCTTTGACTGTGTCATGGATGACATGCTCTCTTCTATCTGCCAACCCCTCCACTGGTTTTTAATAACTCACCTTCTGATTCATATTTGGAAGCAGGTTTCATGTTAAATTTGATGGGTGCTTGTAATTTTATGTAATCTGCAAACATGCCCGTTCTGATTTTATTTTTTCCTTTTGTAATCTTGTAATTTAATAGCTCGTATGATTTAATAGATAAAATAAACTTACAATTAAGTCCTCACCAGCTCCTGTCTTCCCCAGTATAATAACTTACAAACTTTATTTTATCTATGACATCATATGAGCCTTGCTTGATTGATCACTTCACCAGTAAGCAACAGTTTCAAGGTGATAACAGTTCTTTCTTTAACATCAAATGGGATTCTTTTATATAATCTAATTTGCTACACTTTTAATCACACATTTAACAGCTGATAACAGAAGATATCGCTTGTTCATGAAACTGGGTTTCGTGTTTATGCTTCTGTTATTGTACTTATGGCTGCATTGGATGAATGAAGGCTCATTTTTTGTGAGCTCAAAAGGAACTGTTATTAGTTGCACTGTTTCGATTAACGGAACAGATTCAATAGCAAAAACAGATTATAGTTTCATCTGTGCTACTTTGGATTGGTGGCCTCCTGAAAAATGTGATTATGGAACATGCAGCTGGGGAAGAGCTTCTCTTCTCAATCTAGTAAGATAAAGTTGTATGTATGTATGTATGTATGTGTCTGAAAGTTTTAAGGGATGACTCACTTTTACAGGATCTAGCCAACCCCATATTGTTAAATGCTATCAAAGGTAAGCAAGTATTTGATCCTTTGGGTTTAAAAAAACGGTTCAAAGCTTAGTGTTACTTATTCGTAAAGTGCAGCTTTTTCTCCATTAAAGATCAGAATGGGTGGAACCCTGCAAGATAATGTGATTTATGAGACAAAAGATGATAAAGTTAAATGTGCACCATTTGTTCAGAATGGTTCAGAGTTGTTCGGTTTCTCCACAGGTTGCTTACCCCTGTCTAGATGGGACCAACTCAACGTTTTCTTCAAGAAAGCTGGGTGAGTAAGTACATCATCTGTCAATTTCCAACAAGTTCTTAATTTGTCTTGTTTCCGTTGCCTTTGACTTCCAAACACAGGGCTATGGTCGTATTCGGATTAAATGCACTAAGTGGGAGGACCTTCCGTCCGGATGGTTCTGCCATCGGAGCTTGGAATTCCAGCAATGCCGAATCGCTCATACGATACACTGTTAACAAGGGCTATACTATCCATGGTTGGGAACTTGGTATGTGATCTACACCAGAGTTAAAACAAATCTATTTTCATGCAATTTTTATATGATACAATGAATTGTATTGAATAACAGTAATCTGGTTGATCAGGAAACGAACTGTGTGGCTCCGGCATCGGGGCGAAAATCTCAGCGGAACAATATGCAGCCGATGTCAACTCTCTCAAAAGCATTGTTGACAATGTATCTAGAGGATTTAAGGTCAAGCCATTAGTGATAGCACCCGGAGGATTCATTGATACAGATTGGTTCACACAATTTGTAGAGAAAACTCCTAAATCTCTCCAAGTAGTGACCCAACACATTTACAACCTCGGTCCAGGTACAACAAACACAGTGAGTGAACTGATTCTGTGAAGCATTTTGATTGTCGAAACGCGCACACATACACACACACACACACACACACACACATATATATATATATATATATATATATTGTAAACATTATTTTCCCCTGGCTTTTGCAGGTAATGATAATCAGCTGATGAACAAAATCCTAGATGCATCTTATGAAGATGGTGGGAGGCAGCCCTTCAGAGACCTTCAAGCAATTCTGAAGAGTTCATCAACATCAGCGGTTGCATGGGTTGGTGAAGCAGGAGGAGCCTATAACAGCGGTCGAAATCACGTCAGCAATTCGTTTGCTAATAGTTTCTGGTAAAAGCTTGTCCATTTCTTGTTTTGTTCTTGATTCCGACATGGAATCTTAATCAATAATTTAACAAATTAAACAGGTATATGGATCAGCTTGGGATGGCAGCTTCATATGATACCAAAACATATTGTAGACAAACATTGATTGGTGGAAACTATGGTCTGCTTGACACTGCTACATTTGTCCCTCATCCGGATTACTATAGGTACTACTACAACCGCAATTCACTTACTAAATGTTGCCATGAAAGCTGTCTTAAAAGTTTCATACAATAACTGATGTTGCAGTGCTCTTCTCTGGCATCGGTTAATGGGGAGGAAGGTGCTGTCGACGAGCTTCTATGGGATGAAAAGTGTTCGAGCTTATGGTCACTGTTCTAAACAATCTGTAAGTAAATCTATATAAGTTGCCTGGACACCCATCATCCAAGATCCCATTGATATGTCATCATAAGCATGTCTTCAAAGATGCACTGCATGAAATATAAGCTAGACGAGGTGAAATTCAAATTCATTCATAATTTTAGTCAGCTAATTCAATGTTCAATGGAAGGTACAGTTCACAATACAACCTTTCAAATATACCATTGACCATGTTCATCATTGTGTGCAAAGAAAAGTGTGATATTTTACACACAAAACAGACATGCATTTAACTTGTCCACCATTCAGTTCATAACATATAAGTAACTGACATGTTTCTCCCTCGAAAAAAAAAGACATCCGACATGATTTGAAGTTCTTATAATACCTAAATTGTATAATACCTTAGCTCGTGGTATTAACTATTTCCTAGAATTGAATTCACCCCGATGTGTGTAATCGTTAGAATGGACGAATGCCCCCCAAAGTTAACACGACTCTCCAAATTTCGTACACCCGAAAGATAGAGTGAACTTTGGCGGTATTACACTTCTCTCTAAACTCATAAATAATAAAGCTTTAAAGAGTGAAGAAAAACTTTTGAAGAATGTAAGATAAAAGTAATTTTCTTCACTCCTAATAGTTGAAAATCATTGATATCTATAGACTAAGATTACCAGCAAAAAACACAAGAATTCAATTGCAATTAAGCTGCTATAAGTACTATAATTAATTAGCTATAATAGCTCCAAATAAATGGCCATTAAAGCTGCAATAAAGCTGTAATTAAACAACTATAATAGCTGGTAAATATAAAATTCAAGTTTGAATAAAGAGCCAATAAATTAGCATTAAAAATGATTTTAAATCTTATTATTACCAACATTCCCCCACTAATGCGAAAAAAAGTATTTTGTAAAATGATAGCATTGAAGTTAAAACACGAGAAGAGCAATAGTAAAATTAGTTACTTAAGCACTAGTAAACGTATCTGGAACTAGTACATAGTGATGACGAGTAATCTTCTCTTAGATAAGTGAACAAATCTTTAACTTTCTAAGATTAGGGTGAACTCATAACACACAACTAACCCCTTCATTCAATAAAGTCCTCGATGTGTCTAACTCAAATACCTTATATTCTCAGTAGTTTACACTGAAATGAAAAAGTGAAAAGTATATGCTATTAGATAAAAATGAATGATACATGCTATGAAATGAATTAAATGAATGATACATGCTATGAAATAAATGAAGTGAATAAAACATGCTATGAAATGAATAAAGTGAAAGGTAAAGGTCTGATATGAAATGGAAATGTACAAGTTGATTGATTTGATTGAATATGAGTTATATGGTTTTAAAAATGTAAATTGTTTACAAGGTAGATAAATTACATATGATATACTTACATGTGATTAATGTGTTATGTATTCTCATTTATCGTACATTGAACTGTGATACGAAATGACATGTGAACATATAGGTTTGAGTGAATTGATGATAATATGACATTAAATATTTTATTTATGGTATGATGAACTATAAATCAGTAATTTTATATAACACTATTATATTTTAATATATTTATGAATGATATGTTTAGCTATGTACATATTTTATTTTAATTATCATTAGAATTATCATGCCTCACTAAGTGTATACTTAGTGTGATGATTTTCACGCGTAGGTAAAAGTAAGCATACGAAGTAAGGAGTTAGGCCCAACATCAACTTTTGAAGATCCAATATTCTCCAAAAATCAGTATGATATCTTTTTGAATGATGATTATACTAGTTGGCATGTATACTAAATAGTTGTGATATTTAAAAACAGTTATGTTTGAATTTCCATTTTGAGGGATATTATTTATTATTACTGTTTATAAATAAAGTTTAGCTAATTAATATTAGTTAAATGATTTTTTTAATGCTATCGAAATGAACTATTTTAAGATTCTTGATAATAATTGAATTATTTTAGAAAGAAACAAAATTTTACTGGTTTTTGAAAAGGGACTAATTTTTAAAGTCTATGTTCTATGATACATCATGGACTCGCATGCGGTAACGTATACGGAAATGGGTGTTACAACCCATTTGGAAACATAATCGACAACAAGGATAATGTAAGTATTTCCAAACGAAGAAGTAAAGTGACTCATATAGACGATTCCCCACACATTCAAATTATTTGCCCCCATTTTGTCCTTGATAAAACTGGGTTTCTTTGCCTGGACTTGTGTAGAAATCCAATAAAGCTTTTATCTTTGAAAGGAGAATCTACAATTTTTGAATAATGTAGATGTAAATATGTCAAACTTAGCAGAGATTAATTAGGAGAGCAACGCAACATCTGTTCTAATTTGACTCTTGAAACATATCACAAGGAGGATTTATCCTAATTCCTTTCATGTATCCACATCTAATTGGATCTCGAACAAGTAATGCCTCTACATGTTTTTGAGACATCAAATCCATATGTTTACCTTATTGGGTAGAGTTGATTTGTTTATAACACTACCTTCCACCATATACATGACTTCAAAAGTCACACATTCGTCCTTCCAGATACAAAACCATCATATTGGTGAAACCAAAAGACCTCAAAAGTACCAAACTTTAAATTATCCTACAAGAAGAGACGAGATGGGGCATCATAGACCAACTTGTCAAAGAGAATTTCGAGTAATTGGGGCATGCTTAAAGTAAGAAGAAGAAAAATAAAAAAAAGAAGAAAAAAGTGATTGATTTAAATAATTATATCATGCATTAATTACATTATTTTCATGTAAATAAAAGTTAATCATGAATATTCATCCCCTTGGTGGTAAATTTTTTTACAAAGACTTATGTGTATGAAATGAAAAACGACCTTATTTCATTTATCCCTTCTCAAAAGAAGAAAAATATATCATTTGTTGTCCCCATTTGAGCCTAAATTATTTTTCTTCTTATTCAACTCTAACCAAGGATCACCCTCTACATTAGGGGCAAGGTGAAAGATATCTGCTCACATGAATAAAGATTGTTAATCCAGTTTTATTACGAAGGAAAATCTCCATGAAATAAAGCGAGTTTTGAACTAGAAGATAGGTTAAATACAAAATGCTTGAAGATCAAATCCATTCAAGAATAATGAAAGAATTTCCAAAATGCAAGTGGAAAAGGAGGTGCTCAAAGCAATTGAAGTCCTATACTCATCTATTAGAAAAAAGAAAAAAAGAAAAAAGAAAAAAGAAAAAATATGCAAAAGAAAAGGAAAAAGAAGAATAAAAGAAATTGAATCAAGTATTTCAAGATGGGTGACTCATTAAGCCTCGAGTTATAAGGTTGATCAAGTACAATTAGTTTAAAGATTCATATTCAACAAGAAGCGCAAGAAATGATGGACATATAAGAAAATGAAAATGCACCAAAAATTGGCAGTCTAGAGGGATCCAGAAAAGAAATTATGAAATACAAGTAGCAAAGCAGATCTAAGTCAAGTGAGGCAAGATTGAAGGCATCAGAATGAATTCATCCTTGGTTCAATTACCCTTAAACACTTGTTTGGGCCTTTTTATCCCTTTCTTTCATAACCATAAGCCCTGGCCTACGTTATGTACCTAAAAAGTCCATTCTAATCATACATGGATTTCTAAGTGAAAGAGACTATCTTCAGATTTCATTCCACTTCTCAAGATTGATCTTTATTTGTAAAAATTGGTTTTTTAAAAATCTTTAATGCATGATATATGGGGGGTCCAAGATGTAAATTTTGAGTAATGTCTTGAAACCAAAGGAGGATTCGAGTGGAAAACCTGAAAAGGCGGCTCGAATATTGAATGGTGCAATAACGACATAAGAGACAATCTTAAGCTCTTGATGAAGCACCGCACATCCCAAAGATGTTCCTGAGAGTCTGTAATCAATAAGTATCTCTATGAGATGAGCATAACAACCATTTCTTCAGGTAAGTGGACGCTCAAAGAGACATGCATGCTAAACCAACCTGGAAGACCTTGCCTTACCAAAATCAACCTACACCTTAAATCAATCAATAATTTTGACACTTTCCATAGAACTATGATTTTTGAAAGATTTAAAAGATTAGTTGATTTATTTGATATTCATTAAACTCATGTTTTATGATTTGATTCCATTGTGAGCATGAATTAAATAACACTTTACAAAATTCTTTCATTATTTGATAAAGAAAGGAGGAAAACATTTTCAAATATAACAGTCTCAAATGAGAAAGGTACTTGAAGCAATTTGATGCTTATTCTACCTCTATTGGAGAAAAAGAGTAATTGATGCTAGAATGATAAAGTATTTTCACATTCTTGAAGGCAAGTGGTTCGAGAGTCCAGAAAGTCTGGAGAATTGAACTTGTAATACTCTCTTGAGACATTATCATCTATTCATCAAGAAGGATTACCCTATTCAAAAGGGACACATATCTCAGAGCATAGCAAAAAGGCAGGAATGCAACCAGTCAAGAAGAAGTTGATCACCTCATTCAGAAGAGGCACATATCTTAGACATTTCTGTTAGAAGGATTGATAACTTCTTTAGTTTGTGACAACATGAAGAGAATCCCTCAAGTTAATTGATAGCATTGATGTATAGTAACACTGGAATGAAAGCATTCAAGATTAACATATTTGGGCATGAATAGAGCCACGAGTACCCACAATGGGGCATTATCAATGTTGGACCTTATGGGAATCATGAGAGTCAAATCAAATAGACATTGAGAATTTACAACTTAGAATGTTGGGGCATTTTTGAAGGCCCATTTCAGACAAAAATGATCCATGTGGGACATTTTGAAGGCTCACATTAGTATGAAAGTGGGATATTTTGAAAAGCTTATATTAGCAAGAAGCAAATATTGGGGCATGATGAAGGCCTATATCATCTTATGGAAAGATCATTGAATTGAGAAAATATTTCCAAAAAGACAGAAAGATATGAAGAATGAAAATGGTGAAATAGTGACAGTGGAGCTACCTATACATAATTGATTTGTTCATCATACAATTGCATTATTTTGGTGATTTCACCTACATTAATGCTGATAAGTTAAAGCATCCCATTTGTATTCCCAATGAGCTTGGTCCATTGGTGTCCTTGTAATGCCATACAAAAGCTCTGAACACCATACAAAAAGTTTCTTTGGTTGAGAAATATAGGCAGAAACCACAGGAAAGGATGAATGTGTTGTCAAATGTTTGACGAACCATTGATTATAGTGCTGAACCAATGTTGCGATCATATGGTATTTCCATTTTTAACCCAAGATGATGGTTGTATTCCAAAACCCCAAGGTTAAAAATGAGAAATTATAAATATTTCTTTCCATGGAAAGGGCGCTGAAATTTTAACAACAAGAAACTAGTGGAGCCAACTAAGGTTGAACTATAGGTTGTTGTTAAACATCTCGACATGATATGGTCTAAATAGCAAAGAAATGCAATGATACACCTTGGTGTGAGAGGAGAATGAATGCGAACAGACCAGGACGAGAACCAAGATTGCTTGAGCACCTCTTCACTTCCCTCAGTCAAGAAAACATGCATCGACATACACATACGCATATATGATTTTGCATCATTGCATCAAACATCCATCATCTTATGCAATAAAAACTTTAACTTTTCCTCTCACGAGGGTATCCTTAAAATTTCTCTTGAAATCTTATCTTTCTCATGGACATTTTCTCTTATCATAAAGACATTCAGGATAGTTTCATTCAGATACATTTTTTAGATCTTTCAGGAAATGATGAGATTAAAATACAAAAAGACATCCTCAGCAAGAATGAGCATTCATCTTCATATTCAACATTTTCAAAACAAAGATTTGTCTCGCTTAGACAGTTTCACTCGAAACAGAAATTTATCTCACTCGAGATAGTTTTTCTTAAAACAAGATTTGTCTTGCTTGAGACAGTTTCACTCGAAATATAAATTTATCTCACTCGAGATAGTTTTTCTTAAAACAAGATTTGTGTCGCTTGAGACAGTTTCACTCGAAATAGAAATTTATCTCACTTGAGATAGTTTTTCTTAAAACAAGATTTGTCTCGCTTGAGACAGTTTCACTCGAAACAGAAATTTATCTCACTCGAGATAGTTTTTCTTAAAACAAGATTTGTCTCGCTTGAGACAGTTTCACTCGAAATTTTTTTTATCTCACTCGAGATAGTTTTTCTTTTAACAAGATTTGTCTTACTTTAGACAGTTTCACTCGAAACAGAAATTTATCTAACTTGAGATAGTTTTTCTTAAAACAATATTTGTATCGCTTGAGACAGTTTCACTCGAAACAAAATTTTATCTCACTTGAGATTGTTTTTCTTAAAACAAGATTTGTCTCGCTTGAGATAGTTTCACTCGAAACAGAAATTTATCTCACTTGATATTTTTTTTCTTAAAACAAGAGATGTCTCGCTTGAGACAGTTTCACTCGAAACAGAAATTTATCTCACTTGAGATTGTTTTTCTTAAACAAGAGATTGTTTTTCTTAAACAAGATTTGTCTCGCTTGAGATAATTTCACTCGCAGTAGAAATTTTATTTCGCTCGAGATAGTTTTTCTCAAAGCAAAGATTTGTCTCGCTTGAAACAACAAATTTTATCTCGCTTGAGATTGTTTTTCTTAAAACAAACTTCGTCTCACTTGAGACAATTTTCCCTCAAAATAAAATTTATCGCATATGAGATAGTTCCTCTTCAAACAAATTTCTTTGCGTTCATTAAATTTCATTTCACATTTTTATCCAGATATTGAATATTTGACGGGAATTGCAAAGTTAACAAAGATTTCAGCAAAGAATTAATCAACTTTTCAATCTTTGAAAACGTGGATTTCAGAAAATATTTGAATCCATCACTCGATGGATCAACATTTCCAGTGAAGAGTTCATAATGAGAAGAACTTGTCCGAAGACGAAGAATAAGTTCATAATGAAAAGAGCTTGTTCGATCTTTAGATTGATTTTATCGTAAAAGAAGATAGATCAGTAGCAACATTTCTAGTGGAGAGTTCATAATGAGAAGAACTCATCCAATGAGGGATAAGAAGTTCATAATGAAAAGAACTTGTTCAACCTTAGTTCGATTCATCGCATATGGAGTTGAATCAACGACACCTAACTCGAGGGATCACCATTTCCATTGGAGAATTCATAATGAGAAGAACTCATCCGATGGGGGAAAAGAAGTTCATAATAAGAAGAACTTGTTAAACCTTATCTCGATTCATCACATATGGAGTTGAATCAGAAACCTCACTCGAGGCATCAACATTCTCAAAGGAATAGTTCATAATGAGAAGAACTTGTTCAACCTTTTGCTAGATTCCATCACAGAAGAATAAGGATCGTCATTCCCAGTAGAAGAGTTCATAATGAGAAGAACTCATCCAAAGTGAGCGAAAAGTTCATAATGATAAGAACTTATAGCTCAGAAGTTTGAACAATTCAAGCTAAAAATGGAGCTTTATGTCTTTGCTCCATTCCTATTCCACATCAACGAGAAAAGACGGGCAGTTGTAATCACCATTTTTACCTCAATAGCAGCCCCCTCTACGTTTCAGCTTCAGCCGACAATTCCAGCAACTTCCAGAGGAACACCAACTGTCCTTCCACCACAACAACATTCTAGCAGCTTCCACCAACAACAGCTGGTCCTCCACGTTTCAGAAGCTCTCCAGTAGCTTCTACTAAACCAGCTATCCCTCCACGCTGACAGTTCCACCTGTGGTTGCCTTTTGTCTATGACAGCGCGCCAACAAAAGCCACACATGCAAGGAGAAAGAAAAAAAATAATCTTTGATTCTTATTTTGTAAACAGATGGGCTATAAAAAAGAAAGAAAAACACATTGTAAAGGCTCCCTCTCGCCCCCCATTCAAAATAAGAATGAAAAAAATTTGTAGCAGAGGACTTTTTTCCTCTATATCTTTGAAGAGCAATTCAACAGCAGAGAGTACATTTTTAAGATTTACTTTCCCTTTGAATATGTTATTGTTTTTTCTCTTGTTTTGTTATTTTTGAACTAAAGCAGGAGATTAATAAATAAACAACAAGTTAAATAAAAAAAAGAAATAAATAGGATTGGTTTTACCTCGTTGTTGGTCCTTCGTCAGAGTATAGGTCGTCGGCGAAGTGCATATTGAAGTATCGGGGAAAAGGCTCGAGTTTTTCAAGTCCTGGGTTCGTAGTTTACTCCCAAATCGGGACTTAGAGTTTATTGAGGAAGGTTTTTAGGTTCGGGTTTTGTTTGGGGTGGTCGGAAAAATGGATGGCCACCGATTTACGGTGGCCGGCAGCGTTGGTGAGAAGCTTTGAAGCTCTCGGTCACATGTTGAGTTGGAGAGGGAGAGTGTGAGAGAAGGAGTTGATAAGGAGGGAAAGGTTTTTTTTTGTTTTCACGTTAATGGAAAGTAAAAAAGGGGTGGATTATTTTGGGTAAATAACACGTCAGGTCCCTGGTTTTTTAGAGTATTACTTTAATCACTTAAAATAGGGAAAATCATGAAATAATCCCTCTAATTTATGGGCATATTTACACTTTAGTTCCTAATTTATTTTTTTTATTATTTTGAAATTAACTGCTATATTTTTCTTTTCTTTTATTTTGATCTCTTTGTTTTACTTTATTATATTTTAGTCATATTAATTCTATATTTTAATCTTCTGAACTATTTTATTTTGGGCATTATATTTTGATATCTATTATTTTAGTTCTTTACTTTATATTTTAATCTTTTATTTTATTCCTTTACTTTATATTTTAATTTATGTCATTTACTTTTTATTTATTTAATTTCATCACTTTAAATTTTTATTTTTTATTTATTTGTTCTTTACATTTTTCAATACTTTAATTTTAGTCTTTTAACTATTTCGCTTTATTTTTTGTTCATTTCATTTTAGTCACATGAATATTTATGAAAGATTCATAAGTATAACTTGACTGATTTCATAATTTGATTAAAGGATAATATTTATTTATTTTTAAATATTAAGAAAGGTCTGACTTAAAGTAATTAGATGTCTTATTATGATATTTTAAAATAAATAAAACCTTTCTTATAAAAACCTAAAAAATATACTTACTTTAGTTTTGGTTATATCAAATTATTTTAATATGATTTCTTGGGAAGAATTATCACATTCTTATTATTTCAGTTGGAAAGAGAAATATTTGTCCTAAAATAATTTAGGGATTAGTTTCTCTTCAATTGGAAATATTGGAATATTTTATATTTTCCATAGAATTATGTGATTGAATATAAAATAATAGGATCGTAAATTAAATTTATATTTGAATTCTTAGACTTTCACTACCATAGACAATTTATAATCGATGGGTACCAATTTTGGGCATTGTGAGGGTGCTAATCCTTCCCCAAACGTAATCGACCACGAATCTATTTTTTATTACTAAAAAGAATGAATTTATGGTTATACGTAGACTGGTCTATCTTTTAAATGATGTTTTCTTAAAAACTCTCTTAAAATGTAATTTTTAGGTATTCGACCTATCTAACCCAAAAGATCGATGGTGACTCCAAAACATTTCATGAAAAACCATTCATTCACTTGCTTTTCCGCCAAGAAAATTCGTGCCCGGGCGAAAATCGGTTATGAAAACAATATTAGGAAATTTGATATCGATTGAAACCAAAGGATACTTCAAAATCATTGTCGGAACGATCCTTAAGTAAAAAACTAAAAACTTGAAGGAGTTCACATCTACCTTTAGGTTAGGTAGGTCGAGTACCTAAACAATGCTTTTAAAATAAATTTTAAGAAAAATATTTTAAAAAAACAGAACTAGCATGCGTGTAACAAAAATCCATTTTGAAAAGGATTTGGCAGTCGATTATACATGAAATAGATTAGTACTCCTACAACACATGAAATCGATACCTAAGTGATTAGCTCATTATCTTTGCAAAGGAAGAAAATTACAACACTTAACATCAATTTAATTAAAGATTATTTTAAACAAACATATCATTTTATTAATCCCATAATTTCAAAAAGAAAAAGACGATATTCTATCATTTCCGGTTGAAGATAAATAATCTCTCAATGTAAAATAAGATGACTATTTCATTTACCAACCGAAACAAAAGAATGTCATATTTTTCTCCTAAAGAATTTTATATTTAAGAAAAAAAAACTTTTATTAATCCAAGAAGTCTAAGACGATATTTCATCATTTCCAGTCGGATAGAAGTAACATCCAAATGTAAATTAAGACGGATATCGCTTACAAATTGAAATGAAAGAATATTACATTTTTCTCCTAAAGAATTCCATTCTATTTAATTATTAAAAAAGGTCAAAAAAGAAACTAAGTTAATTTATTCTAATTATCTATCCATTTAAAAAAGATAAAGAATGTTTAATTATTTAAAAGTGTCTAGTTAGAATCTTTAATTTAAATTAAATATTTTTTCTCGATAAATTTAAATATAAGAATATTTTTTATCTTGATTAATTTTAAAAATGATTGCTATTTTTGATTTCAGGTAAGATTACAATATACATAAATTTTACATGCTTAATAGATAAATGACTAAATTAAAAAAAATAGTAACCTCATAGGCATAACAACAAACATGGAAAATTTCGAAGCATAAAATGCAAAAATCATACAATGCATGTACTGAAATAGAAATAAACCACCAAGTAGCATATGAGGCTAAAATGAAAGATGTTAAGTTACGCGCTAAATGTAAAAAGTAGCAAAAATGTAATAAACAAGCAATAAGGGACTAAAATAAAAGAAACAAAAAGTATGGGTGTAAATAAAATTGTAGAAAATTAAGTACTAAAATTTAAAAGGATAAAGGACTAAAGTGAAATAAAGAAAAAAAGTGCACAAATTAAGAATAGGAGAGCATTAAATAACAAATTGAAAAAAAAAACTAAATTGAATAAAATAAAAAGTTAGGAGATTAATTTTAATTTTTTCACAGACCATAAATAACGTGAATTCGGGACAGGTTACCGTGAGGTCATAGGATCATTTTTGCAATATATTAAAAGTTAATAGTTAGATTCGAAATAATAAAAAAGGTTAAAGAAATTAGGACTAAAGTGCAAAAATAAGCTAAAAGATGAGGGACTAAAGCGTGATTAAACCCATGCTAACCTTAAGTATTTAATCCTTCTTTTAAAAATTTCTTTTACCATTTTTAGTCATTCTCGTCTAAACCTAAAAAAATCTTTTCCCTTTTTTTCTTTTTTCTCTTAACCTCCTCCCCTCACATTTGGTTATGACATCCACAAACTCTAACAGTTGTCATTCGAACTGTCATAAATCAACATCTCCCTCTCCTCTAACCACCACCAGCGGTGTTCGAACCAAACCAAAACCTCTCTTAATAAAATAAAACTCTCTATTTTCTCATCTAACTCCGAGATCAAAGCTAAAAGATCCAAAACAAACCCATAAACTCCACTAAAGTTTTCAACTTCCTAACTCCTGCAACATTAACAACTATCGGTTACTCCTAATAGCAGCGAGATCTTGGGCGGTCATGAAAAGAGACTGACGAAACCTAGAGATAGGTCTAGATCTCTCTGGTAAAACTGAATGAACCCCCTCTCCTAAGCTTATAATACTCTAATCCGATATGAACCGACGATCGTTAAATAGAATCTTACATGGGACAATCAAAGTGGCTAACCCAAAAATTTTCTTTTAAAATGAAATTGAAATTATATTTGAGAAAATGTGATTTAAACATCATTAATAATAAAATGATAAAAATAAGGAAATAATTTAAGTTTACAAAACGAGGCACCCCCAAATCTCATCCAAAAATAACATCACAGTGTTAAAACAATAGTAGAGTTACGCCTGTATACAAAAAAGGTCTATGAATAGTACATGTCCTTTAAACAAACTCAAGATGTACTCTGATGCCTCTGCAAGTTTGGAATCACTAGTGACGATAATGTTCATTTAGAGATATCCTAAGAACCTGTACACGAAACACATTCTGAACGCTAAGCTTACGAGCTCAATGCCACACTAATAATTGTATTGTATTATACTACGCCCATTCACCACATGAGTATGCTAGAAGGCATAGGTACGAACATATAAGAATACTAACCTGCAAAGTTATGGTAGGCATCATGATGTGGTCGGAGGGTTTTGCATCTCGGGACACACACACCCTCTAGCGTACCTATGATATCCTTGGGTATCTAGGGTGAGATTTGAAATTGCATTTGAAACATGCAACCGTTTGGCTCACTCCTAAGTTTTAGGGAATCTACGCCCATCCAGGAATTGAAGTGCTTTGGCACTAGCTGAGATATATCCAGATATTCTAACATGCAAGATGATCGTCATACTGCTAAAGTAATTCAGATGTTCTGGTTGTTTCCCGAGCGTTACAAAAATGGCTAGTTTTATGTCACCATAGTTCATATAATTTCTAATCATAATTGTGTTCTTTAACTATTACCACTTGTAGTTTTATTCAATAAATATATGGTGCTATTGACCCCCTATTCCAACCCCTTAATTGCGTTGGGTTTCTTACGCAAATTTATGTTCTGATTATTTGGGAATGTAATGGGTTCCTTAAAAAATAAATTTATATTAAGGTAAAATAAAATAAATAAAATAAAAATAATAACTGGAATGCTGCAAAACAAAAGAATTAATTAGGGCACCACTTTAA